ATTATATTGGTAGTCCATGTTATTGGTTATATTCTATTGGTATGTTATGGGTTACATTATATTGGTAGTCCATGTTATTGGTTATATTATATTGGCATGTTATGGGTTACATTATATTGGCAGTCTATGTTATTGGTTATATTCTATTGGTATGTTATGGGTTACATTATATTGGTAGTCCATGTTATGGGTTATATTATATTGGTATGTTATGGGTTACATTATATTGGTAGTCCATGTTATTGGTTATATTCTATTGGTATGTTATTGGTTACATTATATTGGTAGTCCATGTTATTGGTTATATTATATTGGTAGTCCATGTTATTGGTTATATTCTATTGGTATGTTATGGGTTACATTATATTGGTAGTCCATGTTATTGGTTATATTCTATTGGTATGTTATGGGTTACATTATATTGGTAGTCTATGTTATTGGTTATATTCTATTGGAATGTTATGGGTTACATTATATTGGTAGTCCATGTTATTGGTTATATTCTATTGGTATGTTATGGGTTACATTATATTGGTAGTCCATGTTATTGGTTATATTATATTGGTAGTCCATGGTATTGGTTATATTCTATTGGTATGTTATGGGTTACATTATATTGGTAGTCCATGTTATTGGTTATATTATATTGGTAGTCCATGTTATTGGTTATATTCTATTGGTATGTTATGGGTTACAATATATTGGTAGTCCATGTTATTGGTTATATTCTATTGGTATGTTATGGGTTACGTTATATTGGTAGTCCATGTTATTGGTTATATTCTATTGGTATGTTATGGGTTACATTATATTGGTAGTCCATGTTATTGGTTAATATATTGGCATGTTATGGGTTACATTATATTGGTAGTCCATGTTATTGGTTATATTCTATTGGTATGTTATGGGTTACATTATATTGGTAGTCCATGTTATTGGTTAATATATTGGCATGTTATGGGTTACATTATATTGGTAGTCTATTATTGGTTATATTGGTATGTTATTGGTTATATTATATTGGTATGTTATGGGTTACATTATATTGGTAGTCCATGTTATTGGTTATATTCTATTGGTATGTTATGGGTTACATTATATTGGTAGTCCATGTTATTGGTTATATTATTTTGGTATGTTATGGGTTACATTATATTGGTAGTCCATGTTATTGGTTATATTCTATTGGTATGTTACGTGTTACATTATATTGGTAGTCTATGTTATTGGTTATATTGGCATGTTATGGGTTACATTATATTGGTAGTCCATGTTATTGGTTATATTATATTGGTAGTCCATGTTATTGGTTATATTATATTGGTATGTTATGGGTTACATTATATTGGTAGTCCATGTTATTGGTTATATTATATTGGTAGTCCATGTTATTGGTTATATTATATTGGTAGTCCATGTTATTGGTTATATTATATTGGTATGTTATGGGTTTATTATGTTGGTGGTCAATGTTATTGGTTTATATTCTATTGGTATGTTATGGGTTGTTATGTTGGTGGTCCATGTTGTGGTTTGTATTATATTGGTGGTCCATGTTGTGGTTTATGTTCTGTGGTATGTTATGGGTTCATTATGTTGGTGGTCCATGTTATTGGTTATGTATATTGGTGGTCATGTTATTGGTTATATTCTATTGGTATGTTATGGGTTTACAATATGTTGGTGGTCCATGTTGGTTATATTCTGTTGGTATGTTATGGGTTTACATTATATTGGGTAGTCCATGTTATTGGTTATATTATATTGGTGGTCCATGTTATTGGTTATATTCTGGTATGTTATGGGTTTATATTGGTGGTCCATGTTATGGGTTATATTATATTGGTAGTCCATGTTATTGGTTATATTCTATTGGTATGTTATGGGTTACATTATATTGGTAGTCCATGTTATTGGTTATATTATATTGGTAGTCCATGTTATTGGTTATATTATATTGGTATGTTATGGGTTACAATATATTGGTAGTCCATGTTATTGGTTATATTCTATTGGGATGTTATGGGTTACATTATATTGGTAGTCCATGTTATTGGTTATATTCTATTGGTATGTTATTGGTTACATTATAT